GCCCATTGGTGCAGAAGGAGGTAGTGGCTCTCACTCAGTAAGTGAAGTTGCAGGAGTTGTGGGTGTACTTGTGTCTTATGGGGACTGTTGTTGTCTCCCACTCAGTTAGACACAAATTACATTTGAATAACCATCAAAAAACTAGAAGAACATGGACAAAAAAACACACCATGTAATCACACAGGAACAGTAACCAAAAAAGGAAAAAAGGGAAAAAGAAGAAGAAAAATCAAGAAAACTGCTATATCTGCGGATAGGGCACTAAGAGAAAAAAAGTAGAGAAGGAGAATAATGAAGGAAAAAAAATGGGAAAGATGCAAAAAGAAAAACAAGGAACGTGGTTAACCATGAGAAGAAGGGGGGGAAAAGAAAAAAAAAACAGAAAAAACACTTAAATTTTTTTTTAAAAAAAGAAAAAAATTTCAACCAGGAACAGGGAAAGGAAAAAATGCTGAAAACTAGAACCTGGGAGGGGAAGATTAAGAATAATAGTAAAAAGGACAAAAGTATTAATAATAATAGTTGTTTTAAAACAGACAAATACAAGCAAACTTGTCACCAGAAAAAAGAAAGTGAAAAAAGAAAAAAAAAAAAATTGGTGGAGGACAGGGCAGGGGACCCAGGTGCCGTCTGAGCACACAGACTGTGATGGAGTTCTTGTGGGCCCAGAAGGTAGGTGGGGGTGGGGGATGGCTGCATTTCTGTTCACCAAACGGGTGTGGGGTATAAGAGTAACAAGAGGAATGTGGTATCTTTTCAGTCCTCCAGGTCTGGAGAGTCCTTGGGGTTGCTGGAAAGCACAACGTGTTCTTAAGCCCCAGGAATCTGCGAGAGTGCTGTCTCTTTAAATATCCAAAATAGTCAAGCCACTTTTAAACCTTAAAAATGGCGGTGCCCTCTGAACTAGCAAAAGTCCACTGCTCAGCTCGCCTTTCTCTTCACCTTCTCCATTTATTCCCCATCCACCAGAGCAGTCCTCTGTGCAGACCCTGGCTAGCAGGGCTGATTTTTAGTTTAATTCTTAGGTCCTACCACCAGTAGGGAATCTCCAAGCTGTCTGTGCTGTCAGGATCGCTGTGAGACTTCAGCTCCATATGTTTCCTTTTTTGGTATTTTCATGCAAATTCTTCTGCTAGTTGGGATTTAGTCCACTTCTGTATCCTTCCCTTCAAGGCTCAGGAGTCCGAGATTATCTTCTGTGTCTGTGTTAATTGGTTTCTCTTTTCTTTGTTTAAGAGGGTCTGTGCAGTCTTTCTGCTTAGTCTGGCAACTTGCTGGAACCCACAGTCCATTCTGTCTTACAGTTGTCTTGATTTCCCTACCATCTAGAAGTTCTAGAAAAAGCACAGTTTTTCCCTCTTTTTGGTTTGTAGTTGTCCTCCTTTGTCAATTGCTGTCTCTGGTTCTCTGTTTACAATCTTATAGGCTTAGTTACTTTGGACACTTCCATAGCTGGGTGAGTTTCTGATTTATGTCATCATGTGTGTTAATGGTTATTTGCTGTTTGCTGTTGTTGCTTCTCTGTCCAAAGGGCATCTCTTGTAAGGTTAGTCTGGTTTTAAAATTCCCTTAGTTTCTGCTTGTCTGGAAATGTCCTAATTTCACCATCATATTTGAGGGACAATTGTGCTGGGTACATAATTCTTGGTTGGAAAGTTTTCTCTTTCATTGTTTTATATATACCATCCCACTGTCTTCTTGCCTGCATGGTTTCTGCTGACAAATCCAAGCTTAGTCATACTGGTTGCCCCTTGTTAGGTAACTTTCCTTTTTTCCCGTGCTACTTTCATGATTCTCTCTTTGTCTTTGGTTTTGGTGAGTTTGATGATGATATGTCTTGGTGATTTTCTTTTGGGGTCTATCCTGTTTGAGGTTTGTTGCACTTTCTGAATGGATATATTCTCATCTTCATCATACCAGAAAAACTCTCTTCCAGCAGACCGTCAACAATTTTCTTTATGTTTTTATTTGTTTTTTCCTGTTCTGGAATTCTGATTGTTGTTGACGTTTTTATGTGCCATCAAGTCGGACCTGACACATCACGACCCCTCCTTGGGTTTCCAAGGCAGTATCATTACAGAAGTAGATTGCCTGACTTTGCTTCTGAGGAGTAGCTAGTGGATTTGAACCTCCTGCCTTCTGGAATTCCGATTACACATAGGTTATTCCTTTTGATGGTATCCCACTTGAATCTGAGGCTTTCTTTATTTTATTTTGATATTTTTTCTGCTTAATCCCTTTCCAAAGAAGTATGCAGGTATTTGGCTACAGTCTCACTAATTCTGTCTTCCATTGATTCAGTTCTGCTCCTTTGCCTGTTCAATATCTTACCTATTTCTGAAAATTTAGTATTAATCTTCTGATTTCTGTGTGTAGATTTTGTATCATTTCTAATTTTTCATTTATTTTGTTCTTGTATTGTCTTTCGAAATTGTTCTAGGGTTTTCTCTATGTTTTCCTCAATTTTGTCATTGTTTTCTTTGATCTGCCTCTCAATTCATTGAAGATACCTAAATATAATTCTTTTGAATTCCTTATCAGGGAATTCCAATGCTGCGTCTTCCTCAGGAATGTGTTTTGGATCTGTATCCTGGTCCCTTGTTTTTTCTGCTTATCTTGCTTCTTTGTGTGGACTGTGATGCTCCATTGTCTCTGAGGCATTGTGATGTTTTTGTGTTTATATTTAATTGGTGATTGTACCTTGGAGTTACTGGCCCATGATTTTCATTTTCTTTGTTTTGTTTGTATGTTATCTACGGAAGTGGAGTATATGCTCCTCTGTTCACTAGTTAACCGCACTTATACACTCACCACCTATCTCCTTTCCTGTTGTCAGCCTCTGTATATCCCTGCCGACCTTGGAAAACAGTCTATTCTTAGGTGCCTGGAATCCAAATGAGAATGCTGTCACTTTAAAATCTAAAATGGCTGCCACTTGTAAAGATTCAAAATGGCTGCGCCCTCAGTCACTTTAAATACCCAAAATGGCTGCTGTTTATAAACATTCACAATGGTTGCGCCCTCCTGACAGCAGAAAGTCTACAGCTCAGGTTATCTTGTTCCTTGCTGTTTCCCTTCCTAGTCATAGGCCATCAGTGCAGTCATTTCCTGCAGCCCTTGGTGACCAGGGCTGATCTTTAGGTCAGTTCTCAGTTCCCAACACCACTTGGAAATATCCTGGCTGTTGGTCCTGTCAGAGTAGCTGACGGTCTGCAGCTCCGACTGTCTCTGTTCTCACTGTTTTTGTTCAAGTTTTTCCATTAGTTGGTGCCTAATCCACTTCTGTATACTTCCTTTCAAATCTCAAGGCTCCAGGATTATCTTCTGTATCTCTGTCAATGGTTTTCTCTTTTCTTTGTTGAAGAGGTCCTGTGTCACTTGTCTGCCTATTCCTCCATTTTACGAAAGTCCTAGACACTTACTCTTGCTATAATTCTTTGTCACCTGACTGTAGACCTAATTTATTGTTGATTATGGAGTTTGAGAAATTTGAGTAGTAAAAATGGAAAAGGAAGGCAAATTTACAGATCGTAAGTAACAGCAAACAGAAGGAATAAATCTAATTCTTTCTCATGGACTTTTAGTTTCTCTTTAACTACATTATTATATATATTTTTTTGCATTAAAGCTGAGAAGATACAGTTTATATTTATATTTTAAGAAGTCGGGATTAAAATGTACTTTTAATGAAATATTGAAAAATATAAATTATAAAAAACTAGCTCTTTTAGAAATTAAAGTTTTTAACTTTTTATTGGAATTCGGGTGAAAGTTTATGGAGCAAGTTGGTTTCTCTTTCAATAATTCATACACATTTTGTTTTGTTATGTTGATTGCACCCCTACAGTGTAACAACAGTCTTCTAACTTTCTCCCTGTGTTTCCCCTTTCCTTTAGTCCTTCTGTACTACCCTTTCCTGCCTTTTGAGCTTTAGCCCTGGGCAATTGCTACCCTTTTGATCTCTTATGGTTGATTGTCTTAAGGAGTGCATACCTCCCTATTGTTACTGTTCACCTCATAGACCTGTATATTGTTTGACTGAAAGTTGAGCCCATGGGTATGAGTTCATTTCTAGGCTTGAAGGGTGACTAATGGTCACAGTGTCAGGGCTTCCACCAGTCTCTGTTAGACCAGAAAGCCTGGTCTATTTTATTTTTTTTAATGATTTTCAGTTTTGTTCCACATTTTTCTCCCCCTCTATCTTGACCTTCTATTGTGATCCTTTTCAGAGCAGTCTCAGTGGTAGAAGTCAAACATTTTATAAACCAACATGATCATAGCCAAAGCCTCAGGAGGAACATTTTATAATGTCTCTTGCTTATTTCCTTGTTCTGATTGATATGAAGAGATATACTCTCTTGATTTCCATCATGAATACATAAATAATATGCCCTTTGTAAAATAACAAATTACTTAAGGTATTCTCTGTTTGAGAAATCTGTGAATTAATGATAAATAAGTATTAATTCTTTGTATACATACAAAGTTCTCTTAGGAGCAAAAATCATACTGTTTCTGAAAATAATTGTCACTTTAAAGATGATATTATTGTTCTTTTTCAGATTGTTTAATTGTTAATCTGAGAGCTTAGTTATTAGCAAATTGACGTTCAATACCAAATGTATCAATAAGGAAATGTCTGGCACCAACCTAAAATGTAAAACAATAGAATAATATCGAGTTGGAAGAATTCTTACTTTTCATCTGGCTTAAATCCCTTTTTTTTATGTATAACTTATGAAAAGATAAGTGACTAGTGTAAGGTCTGAAAGCTAGATTTAAAGCTGGGACCAGAACCTAGATCTGAAATAACATTGTCAAAAATAATACTTTAGTACAAACTCGTTGATTGGTTCAGTTTTTTTGTTTGTTTGTTTGCTTTTGTTGCTATTATCTTTTTCTTGATGGCATGTTTAATATTCTAATCATCAAACCAGTAACCTCTGTGAGCATGCTATGCTTTCTTGTGTCTCATTGGTGTTCCTTGTTTATGTTTTTAGATCAGCAGGCATAAAAAGTTTGGCTATGGTGTTATGGTTACTCAAGTGGCATCAACAGCAGCAGGTGCAATAGCATTACAGACTTCAGGTAGTATTTTCATTTTATTAGAACTGTAAATAATATGAGCAAGAAAACTGAAAACTTAACAGTCATGTTCAAGTTATTTTTCCCAAGTTAGATCTTATGTAGAAGAAAGTTACGGGATTTCTTTTTACTTTTTTTTTTTTTTTTTTTCATGAAATCCCTCTTGGATTTTTTCTTTACCCCATGATATTTTTATACAACCTTGTTGTCTTTCCTCCTTAGAACAGGGGCACATAATGAACTTAACTGAGAGATACTTGATGCTTTTACACTTTATCTTACAAGTAAAAAAAATACATTTCCTCTTGATATGTCTTCTAAGATTGCCCACTGCTTAGTTTATCAGTAACATAGATACATTAGAATTTACATTTCTAATTGTTGTAATACACACATTTCATTTCATTCTTCACTCTCCTCCTTCCTTCTTGAAAGCATCCCTCTCACAACCTACTCTTCACCACTTATCTTCATAATTGGTGGTTGGTATGTACTAAGCATTGTCACCTGGATTTCAAGAAGTTTAAAACATTAGGAATTTAATATTTCGTATGTCAAGATGTTAAAAATATAAATCTTTATAAGATGTAATCCCTAATAGAGATGTCATAGCTATATTTTTCAAGGCTTAGAGTTGATGAATCATAACATCAATGATCAATATTGATTTTTCTCCTTAAATGAGAATATTTTCCTATAAAAAAGAAAAATTGCTCAGAGAAGTTATTGGTCAGAGGATAAAAGCTGGCACTCATAATTCAGTAATTGTCAAGGGAAATAGTCTTTCAGAATTTAGTCATTACACAGTTTTATAATAGTGAGATATAATATCAATAAAAGCATATTAATAATAAACCAAACTCACTGCTGTTGAGTCAGATCAGACTCATAGTTACACCTCTTTGGGTTTCTGAGGCAGCATCACTATGTAAGTGGATTGCCCCATCTTCCTTCCTAGGAATGGCTGGTGGATTTGAACCACCAGCCTTCTGGTTAGCAGTCAAATGCCTTAGGCACTATGCCACCAGAGGTCCTATATTAATAATAAAATAAAACAAATTCACTGCCGTGGAGTTGGTCCCCACTCATAGCAACCCCTCCTTGGGTTTCCAAGGTGATATCTGTACGGAAGTAGATTGCCCAGTCTTCTTTCTGAGGAATGGCTGGTAGGTTTGAAGAGCCAGGCTTCTGGTTAGTAGTCAAATGCATTAGGCACTATGCCACCAGAACTACCATATAGATATAATTTCTGTTAAGAGGAGAAAGTTATTTTTTATATAAGAAAGATGTATCTCATCAGTGTGGCCCAGTCTTGCTAAAGATATGATTAAAGATAATCATGTCTTTAGTCTCTAATCCAAGGAAATGTTAATGTTGTAAGTATGATATAAAATAATAAAATAATTCTTTTTAGGGTTTATTAATGCACTTATAACTGAATTATGGACCAATTTGGAATGTGGAAGAGATGATGTTGGGGTAATCTATCCTAGATCTACTCCAGTGGATCCTATTGACCGAAGTTGTCAAAAGGTAAGAAATGATGTGATTTGTCTAATAATGTGTAGAGTTTAAGTATATCTCTCAGAAATGACTTCACCCACACTTTTATATTCAGTTGCAACAAGAAGGCTTTCCTGTTTCCTCTTCTTTCTTTCCATTTATAAATTATTTTTTTTTTCCTTTTAAAAATTAATGAGTAACAGGAATGTCTGTGTTCCCTGGGAATTATGTTTTGCAAGAATATTTTTCTTTATGTTATTATTATATTTCTTCACTCTTAAAATGAAGAGTAATAGCATATCAGACATGTTACAGAACAACCAAAAACCAAAACAAACCAAACAAGCAAAAAACAAAACAAAACAAATATACAAAGAAGTAAAGTAGCTTTTACCCCAAGCATTGAATTTAATAGAAAATTGTTAGGCTTATTTGCAAAGAGGTGGACAGAAGAATGATGCTATCATTTCAGGGAAAATAGTAAAAGAAAGTTCTGAACCACCCATATAATATTCTTTTAAATTCAGTTGTTTTTATATATTTAATATATTCTCCAAATAATGAAATGATAATTCCCAACTTTGTGGTACCCAGGATAGTTTGCATTCAAAAGGTGTCATAAAAAACCAAACACTGCCAGTGAGTCAATTCAGACTCATAGGGACTCCCATTGGATTTCCAAGGCTGTAAATCTTTATGAAAGTAGATTGTCCCGTCTTCCTTCTGCAGAGCAGCTGGTGGGTTTGAACCACTGACCTTCTGGTTGGCAGCCAGGTGCCTTGTCCACTATGCCACCAGAACTCCTTGTAAAATGTGTCATGGTGTCATAAAATTACTAAAAAACACTTGAAGTGCCCCCGCCCCGAATAGTGGACTATTTCCTCCTGTTGAAAATGCTTATAAACTCTAGAAAAATAATTTAAATATCAACTGCTTGAGAGCACTGGAATTACCAGAAACTGGCAAAAAAAAAAAAAAAAAGGTACTGATTGAGTTTCTGGATTTAACAGATTTTTGCCTGAGGAAAGTAGCAGTTGGTGCTCTACAGATAGAAACCCATAATCCAACGTAATTGAAGAACCAGACGACAAAAGATAGGGTTCCCCATCAGCTGGAAAGTAGAGGGGGTTCTGGAAAGCAGGGAGCTGCAAAGGAGGCGCTCCACACTCTTCGTATACATCCTTCGCCAAATCTATAGCTAACCCTTGAACTGTGCATGTGAATTTAACAGAAATACCAGATGCCTATCACAGGGGCAGAGTTTGGAGTTTGATCTCAGCCAATTTAACTGCTAAACTGAAAAAAATAAAATAACTTTTTGGGGAATATAAAAGAACTAGAATCTCTACAACATATTCTTCACAGTGGAGAAGATATAATCCAAAATTACTAGATACATGAAGAAACAGGGAAGTAGTCCTCATATTCAAGAAAAAAGCAAATAATAGAGATTGACTATGAAATGATGACAATGTTGGAATTATTACACAAGGATTTTATAGCAGCTATTATTAATAGAATGTAATGGGATATATGATGTATTGAATGAACAGATTGGCACTCAAAGCAGAGACAAAGAAATTATATAAAATCAATAGAAATTTTAGATCTGGAAAAGAAAACCTATTATCTGTAATAAATAATTTTCTGGATGGATTTAATAGAAGATTTAAAGATGAAAGAAGTCAGTGACCCTGAAGAAAGATCAGTAGAAATTATCCAAACTAAAGATCAGAGTTAAAAAAATGAGGCAAAGCATCAGTGGTTTGTGGAGCTGTGTTAAAAGTTTAACATGCATGTACTTATAATACCAGAAAGAGAAAATGAGTCATAGATCCATTTGATTAAATAATAAATTAATATTGCTAATTGATATAGACCCAGAGATCTTTAACAAAATATTATCAAATTGTACCTACCACAAATAGCAAAAAATAGTTGCCATTGAGTCAGCTTGGACTCATGGCAACCCCATGTGTTTCAGACTACAGCTGTGTTCCGTGGGGTTTTTATGGCTGATTTTTCAGAATTAGATCACTAGGCCTTTCTTCTGAGTGGACTTGAACCTCAGCCTTTTGGTTAGCAGTTGAGCACGTTGACCATTGGCACTACCTATGGTAAAAGGACGATTCATCATTACCTAGTGGGGTTTATTCCAGAAACACAGCGTTATTTTAACATTCTAAAATGAAGTAGTGCTATTTAATTCCTGTTTATGGTAAAAACTATGAGCAGATTCAGTCCTCAATTTGATAAATGGTATCTGTAGGAAACATACAGCTTACTTAAAGGTGAAATATTGAACCTAAAATTGGTTCACTCATACCACTTTTATTCAACATCATATAGTAAGTCAAGAGAAGGAAATGAAAGTCATATAGATGGGAAGGAATGAGGTAAAACTGTCTATTTGAAGGTGGTATAATAATTTCATCCAAGTATCAAACAAAACCCAGCAAAACAAAAGACCTCCTCCCCAAATCTAAGATCTCTCTCTAATGTCTTTTAGTGGTTTATATCGTAGAACAGGTTTTGGCGTTAAAAACACTTGACTTCATATGCGACCTGTTTCTTAATATGCTACCTAGCTTATATTTGTATTGAGGATTAAATGAGACCGTTTGCGTAAACATGACTTATATCATGGAACTTTGTTGTTGTTAGTTGCCAGTCAGTTTATTTTGACTCATGGTGACCTTATGTGTGTAGAGTAGAGCACCTCCATAGGGCTTTCAAGGCTGTGACCTTTCAGAAGCAGATAACAAGGTCTGTCTTCTGAGGTGCCTCTGTGTGTATGCGAGCTGCCCACCTTTTGGCCACCAGGCACTTAACTATTTGAACCACCCAGAGACCCTTATAATGACAGCAGTTAAAGTATTACCATCTCCCAGTCTTCTTTCTCACCTATGTGTCCAAATGACTTTAAAGAATACTTTTTACACGCTATTTTCGCTTCTCTCCTTTCCAACTCAACCTTGCATTTTGCTGAAACTACCTTTTTAAGTCACTTTGTGATTACTCCATCAATTTGCACATGCTTATAATGCATCTCTGGTGTATTGAGTATCGCTGATATTTTGCATTCTTAAAACTCCCAAGTCTCCCAAATACAGTCTATCCTAAGACCATTTTCCTTCAGAGCGTTCTTAGGAGATAAATACTGAGCTCATTAACTTAACTTGTGCAGCCGTATTTCTCCCTTCTCCCTGCTTTGCCCTTTAGTGTTACCCTCTTGATATCCCCCTCCTCCTCTGTTGTGCAATACCATCAGATCATTAAATGATCTGATAATATATATATCCTGAACTATACTGTGAGAGCTCGGGTGGCGTAGTGCCTAAGGCATTTGACTGCTAACCAGAAGGATGGCGGTTCAAACCTACCAGCCACTCTTCGGAAGGAAGACTAGGCAATCTGCTTCCCTAGAGATACTGCTTCGGAAATCCAAGGAGGGGTCGCACTACGAGTCGGAAACAACTCGACAGCAGTGAGTTTGGTTTGGTGGTTTTGAACTATACTGTGAGTCCTTGAGGGCAGGGGCCATTCCTTATGCATATTTGTATACCTAGCATCTAGCACACAACTACTTTGAATCAATGAATAAATAAATGGGTGATCATTATCAACTTGAAGAGTTTTTAATTCATTACAAAAATTCTTGTGTTTGGGTAATTCATTTTATGCTTAGTCTTAAAATATGTCAGACATTGGACCTTTCACTAGTTTTTTTTAATCACTATTACACAAAACCTTTACTTTTTCCTTCAAAACATTGATGAAGAGGAATTATGTTTCTTCACTACTATAAATTTTAGGATAAATAACGTGTGATATTACCAATATCTTCAAATGTTATTCTTGTGGTAACCAAAGATTATATTGTAAGTATTTCTTTGAGTTCTAGAAATGCTTTTTTAAAATCATATTGCTGTAGACTAATGTCTTTAAAAGGAGCTCCGGTGGCATAGTGGATAGGGCATTTGGCAGCTACCCGGAAGGGCAGTGATTCAACCCACCAGCTGCTCCAAAGAAGGAAGATGGAGCAATCTATTTCAGTAAAGATTTACAGCCTCTGAAACCCAAATGGGGGTTGCTATGAGTCTGATTCCATTCAATAGCAGTGAGCTTAGAATGTCTATGAAAAATGCCGTGTGTGTGAAAATGGATTTATTTTGCCTAGTAATAAGCTCTGGTAGCATAGTGCCTAAGGCACTTGACTGCTAACCAGAAGGCTGGCGGTTCAAACCCACCAGCCACTCCTCGGAAGAAAGGTTGGGCAATCCTGCTTCCATAGTGGAAACCCAAGGAGGGGTCGCTATGAGTCGGGGCCGGCTCGACGGTATATAACAACAACAACAACAAAAGTAATAAGCTGATGAATCTTCTCAACTCTTTAAAATTCTGTGCAGGTTATTGTAGTCCAAATACAATTACTGAGTTGTTTTCACCTAAAGTTATTTCTAATTTGTTCGGAGTAGCATATCAGAAGTTACCATGACTCTATGTGATCCCAATTGTTTTAAATTTCTTAGGTGGAGGGAGATTCCATAAATACCAGTGGGATCCTTCACATGTAAATAATGTGAAAACCTGCAATATATTATTGATATATGTGATTAGGGAGCTCTGGTGGAGTAGTGCCTAAGACATTTGACTGCTAACCAGCCACCAGCCACTCCTCAGAAGGAAGGTTGGGCAATCTACTTCTGTAGTGATTGGAAACACAGTGAGGGGTCTCTATGAGTCAGATCTGGCTGTATGGCAGTGAGTTTTTTTTTTTTTTTTAATATGTGATTGATAAAAACCATGTGCTCTTTCCATCAAAATTGACATTTATTAAAAGCTTTTTTATAGTCTGTCATGGTTCTATCAATAAATATAAAATATAATTTAAACATAAAAAAGGCTTATTTTTTATAGTATTTAAATATTACTGTTAATATTAAAACATTTATGAAATGTTTGCATATTTAAATTATAAACATGTTGATTTATTTTTTTCATGACAAATTAGATTTTAAAACTCTAGGATAATTAAATCTGTTTTATTAACCATCATTCTGTCAACACTTTAGTGATTAGTGAATTAATTTTTACAGTGATTTTCTAGGTGGCTCTAAACCTTCTAGTTTCCCTGCAGTTTGTTTTGTATATGATTAGCAGACATATTCTTCAACATCCTTTCCTTGATATCAAGTTTTTGCTTTCTTCCCTATAGTGCATATTCCTAGCATAGTGTTCTCTATAAATAGGCACCAAGTAAGTGGTAATTAGATTATTAAATTTATTTAATTATTCTGTTTAATCATATCTTCATTGTTATCCAAGTAGAAGTAGCTTTAAATCATGAAAATATAAATTATTTTTTCTTAGAACTGATTAGAAATTCCATCTTCAATTTATGAAATATTGCATGATAGAAAAAATAGAGGCTTTTAAAAAACCTAAAGTGAGTTCATGTTTCATTTTGCAACAGCATTTGTTGAATAACCATTGTGTATTAAATATACTCATTATATGTGGTTGTTGTTGTTAGTTGCCGTCAGGTCGGGTCTGTCTCCTGTCACCCGTCCTGTTTTACCTTCTTGATCATTTTGACTGTTGTGTCAGTCTGTCTCACTGAGAGATTTCCTCATTTTCAATGATCTTCCATTGTGCCAGTTCACTATATAACCACTCTAATTTGTTAAATAAAATTCTACTTGTCATAACAAGGGAATGGATAGAAAATGGACTCTACCTTCTAGGTCCTCAAATTTAATTGTTTAGCTTTGTGTAAAGTGTAGAACAAGGCTGGCACTGTTACATAGTGTCTGAAGATTATATTGTGATTGGAATGAGCACCCATAGCCTGGAAATTAAAAAACCTTAGGTCTTGATGTTAATTCTTCTGCCACCTTTCTGAGTATAATTCTTTGTACACTCTGTCTGGACCTCAGGTTTTCTCATCCACTAAATGAGAGATGAAATTAAGTACTTTTTCATTCCCTCAGGATATTGATTCTAGTGGAAATTCTCAATTTTTCTATTTCTCAAAATTTCTGATTCTAGTGAAAATTAAGGGAAAAACAAACAAGCAGAAAGCTTAGTAGTTTTCAGTTAATATAATAGAAACTAAACATATAAGAAAGAATACAGGATTTCCAGATGATGAAATTAACTGGAAATCCTTCAGAAAAGATATTTTGACAAACTTTTTACAGCTGGGAAAGTGGAGTAATGAAAAAATGGGAGGACAGGAGGTAAATGTTAATAGGATAAGAAAATTCTGTACAAGTGACAGTCAGTTGAGGGGCACCACAGCAGATTTGATTGGCTGAAGGCGTGATATCACACTGGAAAATAATGGGAAAATGAGGCTTTTGAGACTGTGAAGGAAAGAAAGGTGTCAGTTACCAAAGTGCCTTTAAAGTCATTAAAAAGTTCTGATATGATGTTTAGTGATGGGCAACCACTGCATGCTTTTGAGCTGGAAAGCCGAAGGATGAAATGTGCCTCAGAAAAAATATCCTCGTCACTTTTAATAAGATGAAATGAGAGTGAGGAGGTTAAAAATTTCATAGTAAGATTGCACCACAAAATGAGCTCTTTTTGTTTGGAAAAATCATGGCTTTTTAAAATTCACTGTAATATCTAGGTTACTCAGATTTCCAGACAGTGCAGTTAAAAGATAGCTTTGTGGCCTAAGGCCAAGAAGATACATGATTCATTGTCTTGTCCCAGAGTCCCTAAATATTATTATTCTCATGTTTTCTTATACCTCTTATATTACAGTGCAAAGAATGAGAAAGATGGATCAGTTCATTTTTTTTTCTCAGAACCAAACTTTTCAAGAGATGCATGGCATTTTTAAAGATTTTCCAGCTCTCATGTATGTTCTGTAACTGTTGTTACATAACACGTCATTGACACATAGATTATTGTTGTGCATGTTAGGTATTTTATGCTTGTCATGTTTTTATGTATTTAATTTCTGTAGATTAATTAGGATTCTCTTCTTCTTTTCTTTTAAACAAAAAAAAAAAAAACCCTTTATATTATACAGCTATAAAGCTACAACATTCTTCAATAGATGTCGTTGACAGAAATGAACCATTTCAATATTTTCTTTCTTTTCTCCTAGTCTTTTCTAGCACTGGTGAACTTGTTATCCTGTCCTGCTGTGTATGAGCTGCTAGGCAATCAAGACCTTCCTAATAAAGCAGAGTACTCTCTTCGTGAAGTCCCCACATGTGTTATTGTAAGTCATTGTTTTCTTTTAATATTTGTTTTTTTATTAGTACTACTATTTGAGATTGGTTGTAAAAATACAATGTAGAACAGAAAAATAAGGAAAGAAAGAAAGACTATTTAGTGGGATTTAGAGGCTGATTTGATGTTTTGCCCATGAATTATCAACTTTGTGAATTATCTGTGAATGGAAGCTTAGATCCAGGGCTACTTACCAATCCCTACACCTATCTAAATATAAGGGTAAAATTCTCCCCAAGCAGGAAAGACACTTAGAATAGTAGGAAGGTATGGTATGAATGATTTCCAGATGACTCATTACGTTATTAGACACCCCAGTGCTGCTCCTTCACAGACGAGGATAATTAGGAATAAACTACACTCAAGGAGCCCGTTATGCTTCCTGCTTTTGTTTTAATGAACTACATATGATTGCCCCATGAGGGCAGTACATACATGTTTATTTACTTTGAGGTTCATTTTATACTAATACTGTGAGATAGGTAACCTGTTTTAATCATTCAGAGATATTTAATTTTTTGTCTTTGGTTTGAGTATAAATTAAAAACACATAAACATGTGTATACCCGTATATACAGATAAGTATTAGTAAAGAATTACGTGATTTAGTATTGAATTTCCATTATTAGTCATTACTTTTTATTTTCTGGTCACTTTCTCCTGTGTGTTATTTATTTTATATATATTTTAAAATACAGGTTTATCCTTTGAATATTTTCTTTCACCCCTTTCTAAACAGACAGGAGTTCTGGTAGTGCAGTGGTTAAAGCATTTTTCTGGTAACCAATAGGTCAACTGTTCGAACCCACCAGTGAGTGACTCCATGAGAGAAGGATGAGGCCATCTGCTTCTGTAATGCTTTATAGCCTTAGAAACACTATGGGGAAGTTCTACTCTGCCCTATAGAGTCACTATGACTCAGAATCAAGTTGATGACAGTGGGATTTTTTGTTTTTAAACCCTAAATGTCTTTACTCTTTAAAACTTTCTCTACTTGGGGAAATTTTTCTAAGTTGATGTGAAATGAAATACGAAGATTTTGTCATTAAATATGAAGGTCTGTTGTTAAATTTTTAACTTCGATTCTCTTGTCTTTTTTTCCTCAGAATATTCCATTTATACCTTGTGTTGTTGTTGTTATGTGCCGTCAAGTCGGCCCCGACTCATAGCGACCCCTCCTTGGGTTTCCAAGGCAGTATCACTACGGAAGTAGGATTGCCCAACCTTCCTTCCGAGGAGTGGCTGGTGGGTTTGAACCGCCAGACTTCTGGTTAGCAATCAAGTGCTTTAGCCACTATGCTACCAGAGCTCCTTTATACCTTGTACTTACTTGTATTTTGGTACTTCTTGAGAATTAGTTTTCTGATTAGTCATTTATCTGTCTGTCTCTTTCACTAGACTGTGAGTACCTAAGAGCAAGTATCTCTTTTTTATCCCTAGCATCTATCACATACTATGTGCCCAGTGAGTGGTCATTGAAAATATTCCTAATATTATTGCCTTTATTGAAATAAATTATGAGAAACAAGGACAAAATAGTTACATTATTTAATCAACAACATGTCTTGGATATTTCTTATGTTTTCATGGATATCGACAGTGCATATTCAGACATACCTTTTTCTGTAAGGAAGCATTTGTCTTATGTTTAGTCTTAAGACACTAACTGTAAAAAGTTTTGTTACTTCACCTCTCCTGATGTCAGTGCATTTTAACCATGTAGAAGAATCACTGTTTCTAATAATCATTTAAACATGAATAAAAGCTCCTATTTAAAAAAAAAAAAAAAAAAAATTCTTCCCTGACCTATGTCTTCTTTTAGCTACCACTGTAGCTTTATTATTCTTATAATAAATCTTCCTGAAAGAATTGCCTATACGTCAAAGCTCTAATTCTCTTCTCTCCCAACTCTTGGAGTGACTGTAATCTGGTTTATTGCCCAACTATATCATTGAAATCTTTTTGCTAAAATTCATCAGTAAATACATAATTCCCTAATGCAGTGGAAACTTGCCCTCCTTTAACTTAATTTTCCACCTTGGAATCAAAATTGTTGATCATTCCTCCCATCCTGTGCATTATTTACTTCTGATTCTCTTCCAGTTCTGTGGTCTTTCTGACTTAGCCTTCTTTGTGACCTTCTCTTCCTGTGTTCTTCAGACTGATCTCTTCCAATTCCATGATTTCAGATACATGCTGAAAATTCTCTGTTCCGTGTTACTCACTTGACTGCGAGATCTATTCTTAGTTTCATACCAGATACTGTACGTCTGAAAAATTTATAGGCATCTTAGTCTTAGTGTGTATACAACTGAGCATGATATTTTCTCAATTCCATTTCCTGTTTTCCTATCTCAGTAGATGACATCATCATCCATGCAGTTGAATAATAAGCCACAAACCTGGAAGTCATTGTTGACTTTTCTCACTAATTTATCTTTACATATGTAACAAATTACCATCTTATAAATTTTACCTCCCTAATACCTTGATCCTACTCACTTTTTATATTCCTAGTAAGACCACTCTAGCTCAGACCCTCATTTCTTATCTAGCTTACTTAATAAGTGAGATCTTAATTACTCTTTTTCTTTCAGTCTCAGCCTATAATGTACTCCTTGTAGTAAATAATGAGAGTTGTCCTATAAAAATAAAAACCAGATACAGTCATTCTGGTGGTTAAAATCTTTGCTAATTTCCCTTTTCCTTTAGGCTTAGTTCATATTCCATTGCATGGCATACAGTTTCTCATTTACTTTTCAAAACCCTCTGTTTTCTCATCTGATGGCCCATTCTCTAACACCTAGGGCCTTAGGACAAGCTGCTTTCTTTTTGTGGAGAGTGAAAAGTACATAACCTTGCATTTTTTAAAAATACATTTTAATGAAATACTGCTTATGTACCGTGAGTCGGGTTTGACTCGACGGCACATAACAACAACAACAGTGAAATACACAAAACTAAAGTGACATGGGTCAATACTTTTTTTTTTTTTAATACTGTTCTCTCCTCTCCCCTCTGACCTCTGATAACCAAAGCAGAAAATTTCCTTCCATATGTAAACCTTTACTTGACTTTTTAAAATAATGAACTAACACTACATTTGTCCTTCTGTGATTGACTGTGATTTCACTCAGCATAATGTCCTCCAAGTTCATCCATGTTAACGCAGTGCTTTGCAGATTCTATATTATTCTTTAGTGTTGTATAGTATTCCATTTTGTGTATGTACCATCGTTTCGTTATCCATTATACTGTTGATGGGGACATAGATTGTTTCCATCTTTTTGCTATTGTAAATAGAACTTCAGTGAACATGGGTGTGCATGTATCTGTTCTTGTATTGACTCTCACTTTTTTTAAAATTGTTATTTGCGTGAAAGTTTACAGAGCAAATTCACTTTATAAAGAGCAATTCACATAAACTTTGTCTCATGACATTGACCACAGTTTACCCCAATGCAACAGCTCCCTTCCCCCTTCCTCTCAATAGGTACCTCTTCCCTGTGTCCATCCCTCCATATACTCCTGTCCCCTGAGCTGTCTCCCTGTGCATAAACAGCTCTTCTTTCTCCCATGATTGTTCTTTCCAAGGAGTGTATATACCTCAGGTAAATGTTCACCTCATATGCCTGTCTTTTGTTTGGCTGGAAGCCACAGGAGTGGGTTGAATTCCAGAACTGAAGGGCAACTAGGGGCCATAGTCTCAGTGGTTCCACCAGTCTCTGTCAGACCAGCAAATCTGGTGTACCAGTTGCTAGGTCTAATTGTTTCCATGAATCTTTTTTTTTTTTTTTTTAACAATTCTTCTTTGCTCTGGATGAGGAGAGACCCATCGTTGCATCTAGATGGCTGATTGCAAGCTTTTAAGATCTTAGTCGCTACTCGCCAAAGTGGGAGGTGGAACAATGTTTTGTGTAGTATGTTATGCCAATTGATCTTGATGTCCCCTGTGACTATGGTCCTGAACCTACAGGTTCAACTACTTGCTTCTTCTGGGTAGCTGGCTGTGACCAAGCAGTGACTACAACCTTGCCCCTTGTCAGCTCTACTACACACCTGGGCGTTCTTACAGAACATACAAATATACTTGTAGAACCATTGTGGTGGTTATGTTTGTGTGTCAACTTGGCTAGGCCTGGTTGAGTGGTTGGGCAGCTGGATATTATTCCCCATGATGAGACTGGTAATCAACTCCATGGTGGAATCTACTGTGAGCAGCTGAGTAGCTGCCTTTGGGTATGTGGTCTGCTTCCTGTATATAAGAAGCTTTGACAGTGGTCTCTAGCCTATGGCATGCTTGGACCCTGCATGTAGCTGTGTCATTGCTCAGCAGTTCACTATGCTGTGCCGACCTTTGGACTTACAATGGACTTAAGTCAATGGCCTGCTGTGTGGTGACATCAGGACTGTGCCTTTTTACTTGTCAACCTTGGGGTTTCTTAGCCTCAGCAGCTAGCAGCTGAGTGAAGAAAAGCCTCTAGCTCCAGTGGGCTGGCAGCAGGAGGCAGAGCTGGTCCCCAAGGTTGAGCAGCTTTTACTCAGCCCCTAGAGCCTGGCACTTTGAACTTGGACTTAAAGCCACCAAATTGTAAGAATAACCTCCTGTTTGTTAAGGCCATCCCATTTGTGGTACATTTCTTGTCAGAGTGGTACTAGGTAACCAGAACAACCACTGTCTACCAACCCTATACATGGTCTTGGATACACTCCACATTGCATAGACATACCTAATAGTTCAGCCTGTCCACCCATCTATCCACCCGTATACCCATGTTTGCCTTCATTGACAACACGGTACTGTATGTGTAAAAGGATATATCTTTGTTGCGTGCAACTCCCATGTACCACTCTTTGTCTTCCTCTTCCTCAATGCCATCATGTTGATCACTCACATTTGGTACATTGCCCTTCTCTTCACCCAAATCAATACTTACCTCTACTACCTAATAGTGTTCCCTCCCCTCCCCTCCCACCCTGGTAACTAAC